TAAATGTTGATTGGCAAAAGCTGGGATTATTTTCAGAAAGGGGAGAAGTGCAGACAATGTAGGTTGTCTCTGTGATTAACTTGTGAGATGCGAGAACCATTTTAGGAAAAACCTCAATTTCTCTGCTTGTGAGACACTTGGATTCTTGAGTTATGTTTGTGTGCTTTTTCATTATTTGCAGAACCCAATGATCCCCATCCATGGTGGCGAGTGGACTTGGGTAGTGAACACTGCTTGGGCAGAATCACAGTCACACTTAGACGGGGTTGCTGTGGTAAGGGAAAAAACAAGAACACGGTTATCCACTTGACTCAACCTGTATGGCACAGAATTCCATTTTGTTTTCCCTGCAGTGTCCTGTTCTGGAGACTCAAATTCAAATTGAGTTATATGATGCTGCTGTACAAATTGTATGACAGCCAGAGTTTGTGCTGTAGAATTCCAGTACTAGTTCTAATTCAATTTATTTAGCATTTTCTGTAGAATAAGTTTTATTCACGACGAGGTCTTCCTCACCTATGAATTGTGAAGTTGATTTTCTTTATATTTGCGTAATGTTTAGGGCAAGGCCGTTTTACTGCTGCAGTGGCACGAGCTGGTCTTAGCCTAAGCTACTCAGAGAATCAAGCATGCGGGCTACCAGCCACCCGGGCACAGTCCTATGATGGAGCTGTGATTGTATTCACATGTGACACACCCCAGCTTGCCCGATACGTGACTCTAGACATTGACCCATCCAGCCCAGATGTCACCAATGCCCTTTTGCAAATGGGTGAGGTGACACTAGAAGAGATTACATCGGGAGAGTGTTCCAGGCTTTCTGGTAAGATCAATATGGTGTCAGTAATCAATCCACTGAGAGGTTGACATGGAGAGGTCATTCTCCAAGTTCACAGCCAACTTGCTGAGCTTTGTAGTTTAGGGAATTTCGCTGAGACAACTCAGTGATTTTTCAATATTATTCAGGCATTCCTCTCAGTGAAGAGAAGAGAGTAAGACTAGTTGGTCAAAAACAAGTTTGAAATTTCCACCCGGAAATACACCATACATTGTACTAATATCGTGAACAAGTGTAGTTCTTTAAACAGGCAGCAATTAGAAATTTGGACAGCTACATGTACGTGTATCTATCTAAATAAAGATTTTTGCAATCACAGTGTTAGAAGAGCTCTGTTAGGATCATACATGGTTTTTAACAGTCGGAATAACCAATCTGGAAAACAGGTGAATGTGTGTACATGTCTGTATGAACATATTTTGCCCTTCCCTTCAGCTTAATTTGGGCATCACCCATTCCAGACTATGTTCATGAATTATGCTTCTGTAATGAAATGAATTTTTCAAATGTGTTAATTGTTTATGCTCCTCTGTTTTTTAAAACACGTTTCATTTCTCTTTGTCCTGCAATGAGTACTTTAATTTATTCATTGTCCACTCGGGACCAGGGCTTTATGTTACATTTTTATTGTTTTGTACACATTTGGATTGAGTATTGAATAAAGATGATTAAGTATACAATGTACTGTGAATAAAGCCTATCCGTTGCAACTTCTTAGTTATTCTGTAACAAATGTGTCATAACTGAACATGTTTAATGTGCACTTCTCACCCCAGTAGGCCAACAAAGTAGAAGTCATCATGACTGAATATACTTCTCATTGAAATTACATTTTCAACATATGATGCTTGTTCAATCTCTAGATGGCAGTGTTCGGTTGGTTGGTGGAAGGTTGTCTTCTGAGGGACGTGTTGAGGTCTACTATCAAGGTGACTGGGGCACTGTTTGTGATGACTTTTGGGATATCAGCGATGCCATTGTTGTCTGTCGTCAGTTAGGCTTCCCAGGTGCAGTAATAGCTGTGTCAGCTGGTACTTACTTCTCTGTTGGTGATGGGCCCATTTTACTTGATAACGTGGAATGCACAGGAGACGAAAGTACACTGGCAGATTGTTCCCATGGAGGATGGACTTTT